TGGACGCGGACACCACGCCGTCCATCCGCCTTCTGAGCCTAGTGCACGAGGGAAGCGCGACCTTAAGCCAGCCCGCATGCCTTCACGCCCCACCAAGAAAGGCAAGGGGAAGTCCAAAGGAGCCTCGCCTTCACCAAAGCCGGCGCTACCAGACGGGCAGTTGCACTAATGACCAGTGCCCTTTCGCCCACGTGTGCGCCATAGTAGGCTGATCCTGCCATGGATCACAATAAACACACGTGAAACAGCCCGGATCTTGCCCCACGAAGGCCTCATGCGCCGTCTTCACCATCGCAGGTGCCAGGGCAAACTGCCCTGACTCCAGCCTTGCCTTCTGCACACCGTAGCGAACCCAGCGCTTGGCCAAAGCCACACACGCCCGCCCGGGCAAGCTCATCAGACTCACAGTTGCATCCAGCCTCAAAGCGGCTCTTTTTGGACGTGTTTGCAGGTAGGCTGCACCCAGTGACGTCGGCCGCCACTAGCCTTGGCCTTGACTGCTTCGAGCCTTTTGACCTAGATGGTGACACTGCGCACGACATCCTGGATGACAGAGTCTTCGAGGCACTCCTCAGACTCTGCTTGCCCCGCCTTGCAAAGAATACTCCAGACTCAAACTAGGCGGGCCCAAAGCCTTGAGAACGCCGCAGCACATGGACGGGGTCCCCGGCCTTTCGCCTGCGCAGCGTAAAAAATTGCTGGATAGCAAAACCATCCACGACCGTGGTAGAGCCCTGTTCAGAGCAGTGGTCTCCAAAGGGGGCGTTGGCATTTGGGAGCAGCCGCCGTCAGCCATGTCCTGGCTGGAAGAGGCTAACTTCCAAATGCTACGCGACCACCAGTGTGCCCTGGTGTGGGTAGACGCCTGCATGCACAACAAAGCCTTCTCTAAGTCATGGGCGTTCGGCTGCAACAGTTCGAAAATACGGGCCCTGCAGGCTCGCTGCAATCACTCATACAAGCATCAAAGCATTGCAGGCGTGAAGGAACAAGGGGTATACCTCAGCACGCTGACCGCAGAATACCCCCCTTCCCTGGCCCTGCAACTGGCCCAGGTAGGCATAGGAAGGGTCAGTAAAACAGGCCCCTTCCGACAAGCACTGCCACTGCACTCCAACTCCTCCAGACCCATCACATTGGCGCCTTGCAGGCTCCCCACCTGCGACGGAGCAGGAATGCACTCATCCGCAGATTGGTGTCTTCCCAAACCCGAACACCCGCTGCAAGCAGTCGCCAGGCCCTGGCTGCGCTGGATGCATGAGCGCAAACTGGTGCCACGTATCCTGGCACACATCAAAAGCGGTTCTTCGGACTGCCCACTCTCGCCGTCCGAAAGCCTGGAAGTGGCAACTCTAGCATACACCGCTCTCAAATTGCCCTGCCCTTCAGATATGAGCCCCGAGGCAGGACAGCCATACCGACTCCACCTGCTGCATGCCCTGGCCAAATCTTGGGGTGACCCAGACATGGCCCTTTTGCCTTTTTTGCAACACGGAGTACCGACAGGAGCCGTGTCAGCCTTGCCACCAAGCCTTCAATGGCCGGCAAAAAAGCCAGACTCCGCGCTGCCGCCGGATCTGGAAGTTTGTGAGGGCAACTGGAAGATGGCCGAAGACGAGCCAGAAACCGTGCAAGGCTTGCTGCGCAATGAAATTGCCAACAACTGGATTGTTGAAACCAGCCTTAGCATAGCCGATGCTCGGGAAAAATGGCCCTTAGGCATTGCCGTAGGCAAGTTAAATGTCGTTTTCGCTGAAGGGAAAGAGCCGCGCCTTGTCTTGGACAGCACCGTGTGCCAAGTCAATACCAGATGCCATCTGCCAGAGCGCCTTAGCTTGCCAATGGCATCTGACCTGGCGCTGTCCACGCAGCCAGAAGACACTCCAGGCGCCTTCATAGGCGCCAGCATTGACTTTAAAGCCGCACACAAACAGGTGCAAGTCCGCCCTGAAGAGCATGGCCTTCTACTCTTCGCCTTTCAAGGAAAGCTCTACCATTACAGGGTGTGCCATTTTGGGGGCCGTTTCTCGGCTTTCTGGTGGCAGCGCACCGGCGCATTCTTGCTTCGTCAGGTGCATGGGTTGCTAGCCTGGAAGCCCCACAAAGCCTTCCTTTTTGTGGACGACCTTCTGTGTGCACTCTTCCGGGATAGCGCGCCAGACATGTTTGCCTTGGTGGTGCTTTTCTTTTGTGCCATTGCAGCGCCCATTTCATGGAAAAAGGCGCAATTCCAGGATAGCCTGGTTTGGTGCGGTTGGGAGATCAACTTCTCCCACGACACCATTCAGCTCGTGTCCGCTAAGCTAGCCAAGCTGGACGCCTTGATCAAATCACTTCTGGGAAACCGACGGGTGCCCCGCAAAACACTCGAGCAGTGCATAGGCCTGCTTATTTGGGCCACCAGCATTGCCCTACATCTCAGGTCCTGGCTAGCACCGCTGTACGCGGACCTCAACAGCCCACCAGGCTCGACGCACTCGATACCGCCTCAAATGTGGTCAGCCTTTAGAGCATCCAAGATCCTTGAATAAGGACCTCAAAACTATGGCTTGTGGATCACAGCGGGCTCCAAAATCTTGGAAATTTCAGGCCGCACCATGCGCTGCCCCCAGGACATCCCGCAAGTGCCTGGCACTAGCAAGCCCACACGGGTGCGCGTCGCGGACCCCAACAACCCATACACTAGCCTTTCCAAGTCAAGCCAACAATGCCTTACTTGGCTGGCGTCGTGCTTTCGGCGCTCGCCTATTCAGCCTTTGGCGAGGCCACACCAGCTGCAAGCTCTGGCTGCCGCGGATGCGTGTGCCGAAGATGATTTGGTAGGGATCGGGGGCTGGGCAATCACATCCTCCCAAGTAGTTTGGTTCGCCGAGACCTGGAACATGCAAGACATAAGAGCCGTGTGGCCTTGCCTTGTCAAGCCTGGACAGCGGTACATCGCATGCTTCGAAACTCTGGCACAGTTAGCACTGCTGCAAGCAACCCACAGCCACATTGGTGGTGGGCACTACTCGTTTAGCATGCCTTCAGGCACAGACAATTCCGCCACGGAAGCAAGCCTTAACAAGCTGTTCACGACCTCCTGGCCGTTGCAACTCTTCGTGCAATTAACAGCCTTCTGGGCTCACGCTCACAATGTGCTGCTGCAGCCGACGCACGTTCCAGGAAGGTGCAATGATTGGGCTGACGATCTCAGCAGAGGTCGGTTGGCCCGATTCAGCCATCGCCCTGAAAATGCAAGCCCAGCGATGTCAGGCCGAGGCATTCAACTGTGTCCGATGCATGCGCCCTGGCGCCCGGAGCATTTGGCAGCAGCCGCCGTCACCGCTGCACCAGCCTAATTTGCATCCCGACATGCCTCGCGACCAAATGACCGCCGTCGCCCTGTCAGCCAGAGCAACTGGCGACGTCAGCCAGCCGCTTACTCAAGCCGCTCTGACCGAAAAAAGTGCAGTCACTGCATAACAGGCTGCTCACAGCCCAGCGTGCATGGTCACGCTAGCGTCTGCCCTGCCAGGTACAACCCCACTCTGAAGGGGGGGTGATGAGGCCTGCGGCCCAGCGGGTTCGCTTTTACCGGGGTTGCCTGAAACACTGAAGGGGGGGTCAATGTGCCTCCTGTTCCAGGCGCACCAGTGCCCTGGAAGCAGTGCTACTTTCAGCAATCCCGGTAAAAAGAACTGCGGCCGCTTCGGATGAGCTTTGTTCTTTTGAGGTTTCATGTTTGGGTTCAAGCTAGGAGCAGTGCAACATGCCTTAACGCTTAGGGTTTCTTTTCCCTTGTGTTTAGGGCATGTTGTGAATCGAACTACGCGTTGGCCGTTTTGCTCCTAGCCTTGACCCAAACCTGCGGTTTCTTTTCTTGAAAGGGGTCAATGTGCCTCCTGTTCCAGGCGCACCAGTGCCCTGGAAGCAGTGCAACTTTCAGCAATCCCGGTAAAAAGAACTGCGGCCGCTTCGGACGAGCTTTGTTCTTTTGAGGTTCCATGTTTGGGTTCAAGCTAGGAGCAGTGCAACATGCCTTAACAACCCGTGAAAAAGAAGTGCGCGCCCTTTGGGTTTGCGGAGTTCGTGGTTTTGGAGAGTTGTTTGGGTTCAAGCTAGGAGCAGTGCAACAGGCCTTAACAGACCTTTAACGCTTAGGGTTTTTGTTCCCTTGTGTTTTGAAGTTTGTTGTGAATCTGGCGCTGTGGCCATTTCATGCTTCTAGCCCTGAACTCATAACAAGGACCTTAGGTCCTTGGTTTCTTGTTGAAACCCACCCGACCCGACCCCTGCTTTGCTTCCGCAAGGCCTCGCAACGCACTCTGGGCTGGACCGCTGTCCACTGTCCCGTTGCCAGCCGGGCCCGCGGTCCGGTACTGGCTTGGTCACAGGACTCGCGGTCCTGTGGCCTGGGTGTGGGCACGTACGCCGTACCCTGCAGTCGCACCGCAGAAGCAAGGACACGCTTGTTTTGCCCTTTCTGTTTCACGTGGGGGGGGGGGGGGGGGAATTCTCGCCCCCCTGAGACCAGGTGCGCCGCGTGCCCTGGTCTTTGGTGCGACCTCTCACGCAACCCGGAAAAATGTGCGTCGTCGGCACCTTTGTTTCGGATTTGTATGGGTTTTAGCTAGGAGCAGCGCAGCAGACCTTTAACAACAATGTTTGGGTTTCGCGCCGCCACATCTGCATGATGCACTTCTCCGACATCATCTTGCGATGAGGGAACAACAATCACAGTGCCGCGTTTTGACGAAGGGAAAGGGCACGCGGATTGCGGCGTGCGGGGTTTTGCCCCTAACGTGGGAAACCTTTGGTTGGCTTTCTTCCGGAATGTTCTTAGATGGTTTTGTCACTCTTCGACTTGAAGCGCTGGCTTTCAGGTGTGTTCCGCACAAGCTCAAAGAAGTGGAGGGAGCAACGAACCGCCAAGTCATACTGGTACTCAAGCCATTTTTGAGATTTTAGATGTAGCGGCCAGAACAGATACGCAGTTTCCAAGGTTTAGTTCCTCTTCAATTCTATTGCCTTGACTTGAAAGATGCGTTGAGTCCTTCTCAGCCGGGGCCACCAGCAAAGCGCAGTGCAAGAGCATCTGCGTGGCCTGGTGTAGCCGGACACAGCCAGCGGTGAGGTCGGGGGATTCGCCATCTGGTGGAAAGGGGGGTGGCGTTACAGGTTGGGGGTGATCCGGCCAGTTTTTTCTTTAAGGTCAAATGTTGCCATTTCCACCAGCCAGATTGGGAATCTGAAACATCCCGCGCCACGAGCTTTCTAAGGTGTTCCAGTTTTCCCAGTGCCTGGTTCGGTCAAAACCAAGTTCGCACTGTTACCCCCACTGGCCGCATGTGTTGCATGTGTCTTGCGGTTTGTTCGGCGGCGTGTCTACGTATCCAGGCTCTATGGCCGACGATACGGTGGCCTGGTCCTCGCTTCTGGCAATGGAACGGGACGGTCTGGGTGGTTTCCCTCAAGGTGTATTGTTTGAGGGCATCGTTTGTATTTTGGACGGGTCCCCCCATTTGGACACATAGGTCCCTAAACAAAACCCTTTTTCAGTCAACAAATTGAATTTGCAAATCGATACGTAGCTCAATACATCCTCAATACCCACGAGTTTTTCATGGTTTGCCAACACATGTTGTCACCCCGGTCAGATAAAAGAGCCTCCACATTTCCATGGTTTGATGGTTTGAGCTTCAACCAATAGGCCTTTTACTTGGGACGTAAAAATGGGTTGATTTTGTGTAAAACTCTCCTTGTTTTTGGCCCCTTCAGTCGGAGTTTTTCAAGGTGCACTCCTTCCCAACTTCTTGTAGAACGGGCTGATGACAAGGCCTTGTTGTTTGACAGAAGGAAGCAACTTTGCAACAGCTAACCTTTGTTTTTCCTGTGACCTGAGTGACGCCATATTTGGAGCCGGTGGCGAGGGTGCAACAGCTACCTTTGTTTTTCCTGTGACCTGAGTGACGCCATATTTGGAGCCGGTGGCGAGGGGCGCTTTTGGATCCTCCTTCGGTTTGAGAGCCTTGTGGGGCTGATATTTTCAAACATTTTCCCTTTTCGACCGACAAGTCAACTTTCAAGGGGCTTGAGGAGTCAAAGTCATGCTTTCAACACCCAAATTGGGGTTTCCAGGTTGCGGCAACCCCGTCGTTAGGTGGACACGCCATCTGCCTCTTCGCAGCCAGGCAAGTGGCTTCCAGTGAATTGAGCATCCAAAGCCACCAATGGCCATTTTAGTTTTCAGGGGTTTCTGACCTTAGCGGAACCGACAGTCAATTGGTTTTGGATGCTGCTCATTTGGGTCCGGCGAGCCACTTTGGTGCTTGACGCGAAGTGAAAGTGAGCCATGGAGCAGAGTTCGGCGGGCCCATTTTTTTGGGGGGATCTGGATGAGACTGAATGTTATGCCATGACCTGTGGCCCTGGGGTCGGGTCCATTTTTTTCGCCAGGCACGGTGGCCGGCGAGCCCAGGGAGGCGAGCCGAACCGGCGGAAGTTGCGATCGTTGAGAGGTTTGGGGCCGTCTTGAAACGGCCAAAGCCGTTTGAAGTCGGGTGGATGTCTCACGGGTTTGGGCAAAAAAAAGGCCGTTTGCACCAGGCCCGGTGACCGGCACAGCCTTGAGCATCAACATCCGACCAGCTCGAAGGGAAAAAGATGGTAACGGTCGTTTTTCAGTATTTCCAAGGACATGCACTTTGAAAAAGGTGTCCCCAACCTTTGTGACGGGTTCGGACAAGTTTCGCTGAATTGGAAGCTCTGGTTCCACGTTAAAGCCAGTTATGCACCCCTGCCTTGGGATATCGGGGTTGACATCTGGCAGCTTTTAAGGTGGATGTCGAGCGAACTCTTGCATCCCACTTGGCGGGTGGTTCAAACCAGGGTGGACACATGTGCTCTTGGAGGTTAGGTTGCCGTAAGGTTGCCGTAACTGAAGCAGTCAACATGTTCAATATCGGACTGTTTGGCGGTCATGAGGCACTTGGGCTTTGTGTCCAACAAACATGTGTAGGGGTTCCAAATCTTTGAACGCATGCTTTATTTGCCTCCAATTCTTTGCGGGGCTTTGCGGGCTTATTCATGAACTTCCTTTTTTTTGCTGAGATGTGATGCTCCTTCGCCTTTTCTCAAGATTTGATGAACACTCACCACCAAAAAAAATCTGGACACATTTTTCGGAGCTCGAAGTTGTGTGGACAAAACCTTTCTGCCACTCCTTCAGCTTTGGTGAGGGGCCATCAGGACCCTTTTCTCAGCTGTCCGTGAGTCTTGCTTCGTGGTCTATGGGTGTTTGTTTTACTTTGAGAGTACACCCTTGTTACAACTCGCCGCGAGATCCAGAAAGAAGCCGAGACCTTGTTTGGAGTTTCCACCCAAAGATTTTGCCAAAGACCCCCACATAAAAAAGGGAATAAAAAGAACAAACAACAAACAGAACAAGCAACAACTCACATCCCTCTCAAAAGAACAGCAACCCCCCCCTTTGAACAAGACAAAGAAACCACCCCCCCCTTTCAAAGCAAGCACCCACCCCCCCAAACAAAGAACAAGCAGAAAGACAGGCACATTTCCACGCAAACTACCGTAGAACGCTCCTCCGCCGGTCCTCGACCGCCTCGACCGCTTCGACCGCTTCGACCGCGAAGGCCCCGAAGGCCCCGAAGGCTCCGAAGGCGTCCAAGGCGTCGGACAGGACCTCCTCGCCAGGGCCCAGTGGAGGCGGGTCTTACGGGGGAGCCGACTTTTTGGAGTGAGCTTCCAGAGCCCCCCCCGCTTTGATTTTTTTTAATAGGGGGGGGGGGGGGGGGCGGCGGGGGGCGACTTTTTTTTTTGGGGGTTCTGTCATGTTTTTGTTTCTTTTTTGGCTGGTTCCTTTGTTTTTGATGTGTTTTTGGTTCCTCGTTTTCCTCTTTGTTTCGTGTTTGCTTTGTGTGTGTGTGTTTTTGGTTTGTGTGTGTGTGCGTGTGTCTTGAAGTAGTAGGGACACCCTTATGTTTGTTGGGATGTTTGAAGAGCTTCTTCTCATCTGATGCTTAATGCTTCATGAGGTTGGTGCTTTGCGATAGCTGGTTCTTCCCAGTGCTCGCCCTGGTTGTCCCGACTTATTCATGACCCTCATCTTTTTTCAACTTCATCCCCATGATCATATTGGAGAAGAAGTGGATCCGGAAAGAAGGAGCCAAGAAAAGGCGGGTGCACCAATCCAAATTTTCTCGGGGTACCTTCCCCATTCTTTCCAGGGATCCTTCTTTCTAGCAAACCTCCGCAAACCGAGGGAAAACGGATCCGGTTTTCGGAAAGAACGACGCTTGAAGAGGATGGAAAAGGACTCAACCCCTAGATGTGTTCCTGGAAACAACCCGAGAAAAGGGTCACCAAAAGGAGAATCCGCCCCTCGAAATTTCCGCCCGCCCGCTGTGACTCCTCGGCTCGGGGGCCTTCTTCCTCAGGCGCGCGGAAGGCCTCGCGGTCCAGGAAGAAGCGCAGCCGTGGAGCCCGGACTGGTGGCGCTTTTGGATCCCCCGGAGCCCCCGGAGAGGAAACTACCACACGACCACTGGATCTTTGTGCCTTGATGGCAAATCACTGGATCTTTTTTGGGGAAGACTACTCGACAAAAGGAAGTGGGGACCTGTTGCCCTCTTTTTCAGAAGGCTTCCATTTGCTCTTCGCTCCCGGCTTCCATGGGAGGATACATCACGTAAGTTGACCTCCTTGTTCAAAGCCGAGCTTGCGGCCTTGTTTTTTTCCCTCTTTGGGCCATGTTCAGCCAAGGTTCGAAAAGAAGCCTCCAGGGCTCTGAGAGGGATGATTGGATGTTGCCCCCAAAGGGTTGCACCAGCCGGATCCGCAATGAATCAGGGGTGTTTGTTGCTCTGGAGTGCCCAGGTGGAGTGTTGTGGGATGAACTTTGAACAAAAAGCGTATGACAGTCCTGACACTGTTTATTCGCTAAGGACAGTGTCCACGCCTTTGGCGGCAAACGCGGGGTCACGCAAGAATGTGTGCGTGGAATATATAGCATAAGATACATGCCTGCGGAAAAACCGGGAGCTGTTTGAAAAGGCACCGATCTTATGCTAGATCTCTTTCAACATCTTTTGCAAAGCTCAACTCCTTCCGACTTTAGGAATCCGCACTTTTGTCCAACTCGAAGCAGCCGGGGTGCGAGGAAAGGATCGAACGGCCAAGCAGTTTTTTGGGTTGAAGAGAAATACGTGGCAGAGTCCTTCAAAGCACCGAAAGGGGGTTAAGAGAGAAAGTCACTTCTTTTGCTGACCGGAAGGGCCATCCTTTGAGGCTTCAGGCTCCGCCCTTCCCTTGCGTCGCTCAGGTCCACCCAAGGGCCGGGAGCTCGGCTCAAGTGTTCAGAACTTCCGGCGGCAGGAGGAAACGGACAAGAAAGCAGCCGCAACCTCTATCTGTATTGTCTTGGGAAAGGACCGGTTGTTCATTTTTTGCTAACTTTCTGAGTTGAGAATGCTGTCAATGTGAGATTAGTCCGAAGTCAACCTGTGGGTATGTGTCAAAAAAGGGGGGACCATTGGGGTCGAAGTCCGTTCGCACCAATGAAACCATGGGAATGAATCCATTGTTTGATCGAGTCTTCGCAGGGTTTTGATCTGTGCAGGATTTTGTCCATTTACAGAGTCACCGTTTGCATGTCTCCTTTGGTTGACAATGACTGCCCAAGCGGTCTCGCGAGTTATTTGTACTTTTCCATGAGCAGCGGGTGTATGCAGAATACTTGCTAGCTTACGACCCGACAGGGGATTTTGTTGTCAGAAATAGCAAAACCGGAGTGTGGGCTATGGCTATCCTTTCATTTTATCTGTGGCTTGGTTGCAGACTTCCCCTGAAACTTTTGCCAATGTCAAGATCGCAAAACTCGTCGGTGCGATCAAGGAATGAGAACGAGGGACTTATTGTTGTAAACTACCGAGCTGGTGGTTTCCTTTCTCCGGGAATCCCCGGGGTTCATTGTTCTTCCGTTTGGGTGTGGCTCAACTTTAAACAGGAGGGGCAAACCGCAGGTTTTGGTCCATGTTTCCACTGTACCAGGGCAACCCATTTTGGAATTCCGTTTTTTTGGTTGCCACGGCCATTTCTCCTTCCCTACCTTGCAGCCAGAGAGCGAGCCACGGCCCCGGCCATGGCCCAGGCGCGCGCTTCCGGGACCGCAAGCGGCGGCCCCGCCAGGCCGGCTCTGAAGGCGCCGGGCCGGTGCACCGAAGGGGCGGCGAGGTGAGGCTGAGGTTCGCGCCGCGTGGGGTGAGGGGTTGCTTAGCATACTCTCTGCTACTGTGGATGGTCGCAAGATCCGTTTCGCAGCGTTCAGAAACCCTATGACTCGACTACGGATGGTCGCAAGATCCGTTTCGCAGCGTTCAGAATCCCTATGACTCGACTACGATGGTCTCAAGATCCGTTTCGCAGCGTTCAGAAACCCTATGACTCGACTACGGATGGTCGCAAGATCCGTTTCGCAGCGTTCAGAAATCCTATGACTCGACTACGGAAATACCAACAAAGAATGGTTCATCATGGTTTCCAAGTGGTGCAGGAGTTCGCCCATCCAGAGTAGGAAGGGGAAGTGAGCTGGACACTTTAAGGGATGCTTCAGCCAGTTGACACTAGGCCCAGTGGCAAGAAGGGTTGATTGAAATGGAGGCGGGAAAAGGATTTTAAGCGGTGTTTGTATCAGAGCGCAACGTGACGCGTCGGCAAGGGGCTTGCACATCCCCAAGCCACCAATCCAAGCCACCAATGAGGGCAAAGTGAATGTCGCTGGGGCAATGGGACCGACTTTGCCCAGCGTGCGGGGTGCGTGTAAACGATATGCTCCAATGCGTACAATCTGATTCTTGTCATCATGCCCACCATGGAGACATTCGATGTTCTTGAGATCTCAAGGGGTATGTTGCAGACTTTTGGAAACCGTGGCATTGCTTTTGTTACCTACAAGAGGTTATCCTCTTTGCCACGTTGCCATGGCACCTCACACGGAAATGGTCTTTCAAGAGGAAACTGATCTTATAGCTGTATCATGAACCCCACAGGTGCCATGTTCATTGGCGGGAGGAACTTTCGACTTGGCTTCGAGTAAAAAAGTCGAGGCCCTGTCAGCGACGTGGTGGCCGGTCCCGTGATTCGGGCTCGGGAGCCCGAAGAGTTGGCGGGTTTTTGTCTGCCCGGTGGGGTGTTTTGTTCGTTTGCATGGGGCTCAGCGACTGTTTTGAGAATCATTGCTCTACGTTGCTTGAGAATCCCAGCCAGAAATGTGTGATATCCGCCTTGTAATTTCTTGACACGGTTCTGGGTCGACCATTTTGGTACCAAGTTTGGATTATGACTCAAGTTGATTGTCTTGTGACAATTGGAAAGGTGCTTAATGCCCGACCTGAACTCGGGGATGAGCATGCAGGTTGGGCGCAAGAGTTGGGCAAGGGTTGTTTGCCAGCCTGCTCGGAAACACACCTGTACCGGACACATCCGACTTTGCAGTTTCCGAATCCCGGTTCCGAATCCTGTGCCCTCCTAGTTTCAGAATTCGCTTGTCCAGTTTCCTAGTCCGACTGCCTTGTTTCTACATGATAGCTTCCGAATCCGGTGCCCTGCGAGTGTTCGAATGTGACATCTCAGTTTCCGAATCCTAGTTCCAAATTTGACGTTGGCCCACATTTCCCTGCAACGAGTTGGTTCTTGGTGGATTGAGAGCCTCCCATTTTGTTCAGAGACAGCGCTCCTTTATTTTCAATAAGATCTCACTCCGCTTTGCATGCGGCTCCAAAAAGGTCGACAGCTAGACACCTTAGGGGGCCTCACATGAGCCGTCACAGGAATCCAATTGGAGCCAGGGCGAGGGAGCCTCAAGGAGGGTCAACGTAAGCCAATCTTATTTGGGGTGTCCCCCAGATCTCTCAGACTCCGGCTCGGTGTTTGCCCAATGCTGCCTGGAAGAGGCTCATGGTTTTGCAGTCTTTGCTGGAGACGTTTCGCGATTTTTCGTTTTCGCCCGCTCTTGATCTGCGAAACGTCGGCCAAAGCGTCGGCCACGGTGAGATGTTCCCTTTGGCTTGCCTGGCACTCGCCTCAGAGATCGGGGAGACCTGGTCCATGTAAGCCGAGAGAAAAATTGAGACGACCCGATTCGAGGACAACAAGGCGATCTACGCCTATGGCAACTACGACGAGCAACCCGAGCCACGGATTGTTGTCAGCTACGTTTTGGGACGGAAAGAAAAACGGATCGATCCCCATGTGGATTGGTTTTTATTTTTTGCGGTTTTGGGTCTGTGGGAATGTCGGAGATGGCACAAACTCACTCAAGGTTGCCAGCGCATGCGGGCCAAAGCCAAGTTGTGGCCAATCGAACTAGAGATTTGATGTTGTTTGCTCTCCGGACAAGACACGACAAGCCACAGTCATCACAGGAAGAACGACAAAGTGGATGGACTGAGCCACCAGTTGGAGCAGCATCCAAATTTCACGCACCGGGGGTATTTCGAAGCAGCATGGGACAGAAAGGTTCAGGCCCACTCTTTGGGGCTGAAGGTTCCATATCCAACCAGTGCTGCCCAAACAGCCCTGGGGCCATGGGAAAGGGCCGTTTGACATAGTGCGCTTTTTTTGAGGGCACGCTCTTTGAGGTTGGCTAAGATGGAGACCAAAATCAAATGGGCCCCTGACATACCCATACTGCTACTAGGAGTAGCTCAAGAGTTTGAATTCAATCAACGCACCCTCCCGTTGACTGATATGAAGCCCACATGGAACATGGATCCACTATAGAGGAACATTGTCCAAACCACCACCTTCCTATCTTAGTGGATGGGAGGGTATAGTTTGAATAGGGGATCGAAGAGGAAAGGCTCTCGCGAGCAAAAGGCTTGTGTGGGCTTGCCCGCATTTGGGTGGACGGGTCCCCAGTTCCCACCAATCCAAATCTCGAATAATCAGCTAACCCTTGATTGGTAGTTGGGATTGGTGGGTGGGGATAGCAAATCTCCGCTTCTCTTTGAAGAAAACCCCAGCCCAATGATAAAGATCCAATTCCTCTCTCGCGGGGGTCTCGGGAGAAACGAGTCATCTACACACCCCAAAACCAGTTGAGCTCTCCAATTTGCCTTCATATCTTGACGCTGGCTATGCTGGTAGGATCGCATCCTTTCAAGCGCTTGCTGAACTCCACCAGGGGCCTCTCGAAATCAAGCAACCCGCGTGTGTCCCTGTGGAACATGGTGCTTCGGGTGCGGAGCACACGTCAGGTACTATGGGAAGCGCCACGACCGCTTCGCCTCCATAGATGCTCGGATAGAGGAGCGTCTGATTGGCTAAACGGATGGGGACCGGAGTGGGGGAGCACCTCAAATTAAAGGGGGCTTGAGATTTGGAAGAGAGGGGGTTGGGGCGAACAGCCACCTGCCGCTCCTTCCAGAGGATCAGAGTTAGTATGCTATGAGCAAAATTGGGAACTCAAGTTGGGTCTTGCAAAACTGAGAGGGTGACATACCCCAAATACATTGTGGATGCTTGGGAACCGCTGTGTCATAGGGGGTCCATGATTTTGACCACCCCCGCCACTCATTTGGGTGTGTGTCTTTTGATTGGTACCCTTTTCGAAGGTTGGCTCCAGGGAAACTCCATCGGACGCACCCTTTTTCGGGCTCCAAATTCCCGCTTGGTCGGCCACCGGTCGGCCAGGCGCTGCTGGAGTTCTGCGGCACGGAGCTGTTTGAGGACAAGGCCGGGTGTCTGGGCGGAGCTTTGGCTAAGGCTTTTTCGAGCTTCTTTGGTAGGAGCCAGGCTGAAGGGCGGATTTTGATTTGGTATCCTTTCATTGTTACCAGTTGAGCCACAATCAAAACCTGGGTAGATGAAGGTTAGTAAGGGACGATCCCAACCAGAAATACCTGCGGCCGCCTTCTTAATCCTGTACATGGTTCTGGGATCCGAGTCTTCTGGGATATAATTCTTCACCGCAGTGGGGGTGGTCATGCAGGGGGCCGGGGTGAGGGGAAAGGGACACTGAGCTCCGGCAACCGGTATCGAAGCGGTGGAACGAGATCCATGATGGATTTCTCCAAATTGGATTTATCTTGGACTCTTAACCTTCTCACAGCCTTGCACGGATTCTTTTCCTGTGTGAATAGGATGGACTTTCTCATGCTGGTTCAGCTTTTGTTTTTTCGGAGGTGCTTGTTGGTGGCCCTTGTTTTAGAAGTCTTTTTGGCGGTCCCCTGAACTGAACACGCTCCTCTTGCTGTCGCACCCATCCTCGACTTCAAACCCCAGGTCGTGTTGGACGTGGGCTGCAATACAGGCGGGGTTATGTGACTTGAATTTTCCCATGAGCGCCCGCAGCCCCGGCCCCAACGGGTCAGGGGGCATAGAATCCGCAAAAACGGCAAGATGGGTCAGTCGATGGGTCCTGGGACCGTGCTCAAATGAGGGGGGAGGGGGTGGCTTCCGTTTGTGACAATGCGTTTTGCCCGGGAAGACGACGGGAGACGTGGTTGTCAAGAGCAGCTGACTAGGGGACAGTTTGCAGCAAGGTGGAGTTGGATGAAGAACCCCAAACAACCTCAGCTTTGTAGTTTTGCAAATGGGAGACTCCAATTTGAAGGGTGTTTTCCTCGTTCTTCTCGTTTTGCAGTTGAGCTCCCATTTCAAGTAAGGTTGTCGTTCCCACTGTTTTTCACAGACATTCTGAGGGATGCTCGTTTTGGACTGCAACAATGGCTTCGGTTTTCTCTCTTTGTTCATTTTTTCCACCAAAGAGGGTACACTTCCTCAAAGCAGCGTAGCTCTCCAATTGGCTGTGATCTTTTCGGGAAGTTCCTGAAAAGTGAGCGGTTTCTTTTCACCCCTCTCCCCGAAAACTCTGGTGTCCACCGTTTCGGGTCGATGAATTTATAGGCTTCATGGAGCCAAGTTGGGCGCCTTCCGTGCACGGACGCCGGCGGTTTCCGTGACAGGCACCATCGGCTTCCAGGTGGCGGCGCTCGGCGCGCGCCGGGTGGAGGCGGAACCAGCGCAGGTTTCTTTCTCGTTGGGGAGCTTTTTTTTTTTTTTCTCGATGGGGCGTTTCCCGTTTCGCCCGGCCCCTTTGGTTTTCTGGCGCCCAAGACCGGGGAGTTGGCCGTCCTTTGGGCGTTGCTCGGCCCATCTTCCCGGGGTTGGACCCGGCCGACAGGCTGTGGAGCTGGATCGCCAGCTCATCGCCAAGGCCCTGAGGCAAGTCGGACCCGGTTTTGGGTGGGCCGAGGAGGGAGGGGAAGGGAAGACAGGTGGCGCGGCACCAAGCAGACAGCGGAAAGGCGCCGGATACAGAATGCATTGCATCCTGCATTGCAGGGAGGGGCCGTTTGTTCTTGCTTTTCTTTGGATGAGGATCTTATGCGTGCGTTTGTTACGCATGCTTGCAGGGCTGCGATGTGTTGCTTTGGCCTATCAAGCATGTGAACCACCATGTTGGTTCAATGGCAGTTGTTTGTGCATGCTCGTGCTGTGGGCGCAGGATCCTGAGTTTCCATCTTTTGTTCGAGGTGCGGTTGTACTGAGGCTGCGCATCGTTTCAATGCTACACGGCTTCCAATGTCTTGTCGATCTAGCCTCCTGTCTTTTGACCATGTACGGACATCAGCAAGCCCTACCCAACAGGTGCCGTGGCACATCCGGATACGGAATGCGGCATCCTGCACACCGCTGGCCTGGTGTGGGGCACAGTGCGAGGACGAGCTATGCATGAGGAGGGGCAAATGGATTTATTTGAGCCTCACATGTGGGCAGAATGGGGAGTTTGAGGCCAACCCACCCTGTGCTGGGTGGATGACAGTGTCACGGATGTGCCAGCGTGTTCACTGGGCTCCCCATTTGCAAGTCAGCAATTCTGCCTTGACTAGGCTGTGTCTGGCTGCATCTTGCATTGCTGGTAGGGGAGGCCGTTCGATCGCCTGACTCTTTGGATGTGGGGCTTTGCGCTTGTTGCCTTCGCGCGCTTGCGGGCCTGAGTTGTTTGTTGGTTTAGCCTTGTTTGCGTCTTCAGCGATAGGCATTGTGCGCTTTGCGTGACTCCTGGGCAAAGGGGCTGGGAGTTTTCCTTGGTTTTGGCACTCTCAGATTGGTGTGTGTGTGTGTGTGTGTGTGTGTGTGTGTGTGTGTGTGTCTGTGTGTCTCTGTAGTCATGCCAGACATCGATGCTGCACATTCCAGCCTGTTGTCGGTTGACCGTGCAAGGAAATCAGGAAGCCCTACCCAACAGGTGCCGTGGCACATCCGGATACGGAATGCGGCATCCTGCACACCGCTGGCCTGGTGTGGGGCACTGTGCGAGGACGAGCTATGCATGAGGAGGGGCAAATGGATTTATTTGAGCCTCACATGTGGGCAGAATGGGAAGTTTGAGGCCAACCCACCCTGTGCTGGGTGGATGACAGTGTCACGGATGTGCCAGCGTGTTCACTGGGCTCCCCATTTGCAAGTCAGCAATTCTGCCTTGACTAGGCTGTGTCTGGCTGCATCTTGCATTGCTGGTAGGGGAGGCCGTTCGATCGCCTGACTCTTTGGATGTGGGGCTTATGCGCTTGTTGCCTTCGCGCGCTTGCGGGCCTGAGTTGTTTGTTGGTTTAGCCTTGTTTGCGTCTTCAGCGATAGGCATTGTGCGCTTTGCGTGACTCCTGGGCAAAGGGGCTGGGAGTTTTCCTTGGTTTTGGCACTCTCAGATTGGTGTGTGTGTGTGTGTGTCTCTGTAGTCATGCCAGACATCGATGCTGCACATTCCAGCCTGTTGTCGGTTGACCGTGCAAGGAAATCAAAAAGCCCTACCCAACAGGTGCCGTGGCACATCCGGATACGGAATGCGGCATCCTGCACACCGCTGGCCTGGTGTGGGGCACTGTGCGAGGACGAGCTATGCATGAGGAGGGGCAAATGGATTTATTTGAGCCTCACATGTGGGCAGAATGGGAAGTTTGAGGCCAACCCACCCTGTGCTGGGTGGATGACAGTGTCACGGATGTGCCAGCGTGTTCACTGGGCTCCCCATTTGCAAGTCAGCAATTCTGCCTTGACTAGGCTGTGTCTGGCTGCATCTTGCATTGCTGGTAGGGGAGGCCGTTCGATCGCCTGACTCTTTGGATGTGGGGCTTATGCGCTTGTTGCCTTCGCGCGCTTGCGGGCCTGAGTTGTTTGTTGGTTTAGCCTTGTTTGCGTCTTCAGCGATAGGCATTGTGCGCTTTGCGTGACTCCTGGGCAAAGGGGCTGGGAGTTTTCCTTGGTTTTGGCACTCTCAGATTGGTGTGTGTGTGTGTCTCTGTAGTCATGCCAGACATCTATGCTGCACATTCCAGCCTGTTGTCGGTTGACCGTGCAAGGAAATCAGGAAGCCCTACCCAACAGGTGCCGTGGCACATCCGGATACGGAATGCGGCATCCTGCACACCGCTGGCCTGGTGTGGGGCACTGTGCGAGGACGAGCTATGCATGAGGAGGGGCAAATGGATTTATTTGAGCCTCACATGTGGGCAGAATGGGAAGTTTGAGGCCAACCCACCCTGTGCTGGGTGGATGACAGTGTCACGGATGTGCCAGCGTGTTCACTGGGCTCCCCATTTGCAAGTCAGCAATTCTGCCTTGACTAGGCTGTGTCTGGCTGCATCTTGCATTGCTGGTAGGGGAGGCCGTTCGATCGCCTGACTCTTTGGATGTGGGGCTTATGCGCTTGTTGCCTTCGCGCGCTTGCGGGCGCTTGCGGGCCTGAGTTTTTGTTGGTTTTGGCACTCTCAGCCTTGTTTGCGTCTTGTAGGCATGCGCTTTACCCTGGGCACAAGGGACCGTGGGAGCCCTACCCAACAGGTGCCGTGGCACATCCGGATACGGAATGCGGCATCCTGCACACCGCTGGCCTGGTGTGGGGCACTGTGCGAGGACGAGCTATGCATGAGGAGGGGCAAATGGATTTATTTGAGCCTCACATGTGGGCAGAATGGGAAGTTTGAGGCCAACCCACCCTGTGCTGGGTGGATGACAGTGTCACGGATGTGCCAGCGTGTTCACTGGGCTCCCCATTTGCAAGTCAGCAATTCTGCCTTGACTAGGCTGTGTCTGGCTGCATCTTGCATTGCTGGTAGGGGAGGCCGTTCGATCGCCTGACTCTTTGGATGTGGGGCTTATGCGCTTGTTGCCTTCGCGCGCTTGCGGGCCTGAGTTGTTTGTTGGTTTAGCCTTGTTTGCGTCTTCAGCGATAGGCATTGTGCGCTTTGCGTGACTCCTGGGCAAAGGGGCTGGGAGTTTTCCTTGGTTTTGGCACTCTCAGATTGGTGTGTGTGTGTGTCTCTGTAGTCATGCCAGACATCTATGCTGCACATTCCAGCCTGTTGTCGGTTGACCGTGCAAGGAAATCAGAAGCCCTACCCAACAGGTGCCGTGGCACATCCGGATACGGAATGCGGCATCCTGCACACCGCTGGCCTGGTGTGGGGCACTGTGCGAGGACGAGCTATGCATGAGGAGGGGCAAATGGATTTATTTGAGCCTCTCATGTGGGCAGAATGGGAAGTTTGAGGCCAACCCACCCTGTGCTGGGTGGATGACAGTGTCACGGATGTGCCAGCGTGTTCACTGGGCTCCCCATTTGCAAGTCAGCAATTCTGCCTTGACTAGGCTGTGTCTGGCTGCATCTTGCATTGCTGGTGGGGGAGGCCGTTCGATCGCCTGACTCTTTGGATGTGGGGCTTATGCGCTTGTTGCCTTCGCGCGCTTGCGGGCCTGAGTTGTTTGTTGGTTTAGCCTTGTTTGCGTCTTCAGCGATAGGCATTGTGCGCTTTGCGTGACTCCTGGGCAAAGGGGCTGGGAGTTTTCCTTGGTTTTGGCACTCTCAGATTGGTGCCAGACATCGATGCTGCACATTTCAGCCTGTTGTCGGTGGACCGCGTGGCACATCAGGATACGGACCGCTTGCCTGGCTTGCTTCATGTATTTTTTTTTTGGCCTCGTCGAGACGGAGGCAAGCGCGTGCGGTTTGTCTCAGCATCGGGGGTGCTTTCCTTTGAGTTCCCTTGAAACCAACCCCAAAACTGGTACACACGCAAAAGCGTGGGGTCAAGAGCACATGGGATTCCTCACGGTTGACAAACGTTGGATGCGAGGCACCTGAGGTGGTTGAAGAGCAACGGCCACAAGACGCTGCCGGAAGCCCAAGAAAGCCGCAGCTTTGATCCGGTTTTTCCATTTTGGAGGTCGGAATCCGGAAGCGGAAGTTTGGAGGTCGACAGTAAGCCCGCCAGGTTGGTCTTTTGACCCAACCGGTTGGTCTTTTGATCCAACCTGGTGAGGTGTTTGATTTTATTTGCCAAAAGGGTGAACTGAAGACTTTGGGAAGATGACAGGCTTTCCATCAAACACGCCAGGTGTTGCATGTGGCCAGTTGGAAAAGAGAGACGCTTTGGCATCCCCAATCGGTACCACCAAAGCTCCCCTGATAGTGTTGGGCGAGCATTGAGAAAAGAGCAAAGAGCAGGGTTGCACAGGCATTTCTAAGTCCACCTTGACTCCCTATGTTCGGGAGCTCTAGAATCCAATGTTTCCTGGTTTCTCCAAATTAAGTCCACCTTGACTCCCTATGTTCGGGAGCTCTAGAATCCTATGTTTCCTGGTTTCTCGAAACCAAGACCTTTTGAAAGATGGCAACGGCTTGCCGAAGAAAGGCCATCCCCCCCTCAACCCCCCCTCCCCAACCCCCCCTCCCCAACCCCCCCCCCCCCCCTCCAAATCCTCCCCAAACCTCCCCCAACCCCCCGTCCCCAACCCCTCCCAAAAAAGGTAAAGGGGGCTGAGCCACTGCGCGCTGGAGCACAGGCCGGAGGCAGCCGAGGAAGGCCCGGCTCCCGGGCTTGAGATGAAGGAAGCCAGTGCGTTTCATTCTTTGCAGCCATCGTTCTTTTCAAAAACCGATCACAATTTCCCCAGGCTTTTGGTGTTGCTAGAAAGAAGGAGGAAGTTAGCCCTACATTAGTAGCGCTCGCAACGGACGTACTCCCCGGGAGTCGTTCGGAATGTAAACAGATTTGCCTGCCTCTACAGGGGGAGCCTTGGACCTGGTACTCCGTTGAAGCCTTCGCCAACTGCCCAAATGCCCAAAACAGGACGGCTCTTTTGAGAAGTGTTCCCACCAGGCCGATCCTTTTTTCGAGCTCCATTTCGCCTTTTGGTCCATGGACAAATTTCCCCGAAACATTTCTCGTTGCGCGCCGCGTGTTCAGGCGAGAAGGTCCCGTGGCACCAGCGCCAGTGCGGTGCCCTAGACGGAGGCAACCAGCCGCAACTTCGCGGCATCCCCGTTTCGAGAGGGCGCAGGGTGGCCACCAGAGTTCGAGAAAACACCGGGGGGGGCCTTGCTTGAGAGCGTAAAAACACATCGGAGCCATGGATGAATTTTCATGCACCTCTCGCTATGGAACGGTGTTGAGCTACCGATCGATCTGAATCATGGTGCCGAGGTACGCTGTGAGCTGCGTGCAAGGCCAGTCCGGATAGAATTCAGGTTATTTTGATTGCTTTCCCGTTGGGTTGATTACCCTCCTGTCGTTGCTATGGAACCCAGCAGAGGCTCTGGGCTCTTTGAAAGGAAATCGTCTTCCATCAGTCAGGTTCCATGTCAGTGGACAGGCGTGTACGCTGGCTCTGTCGTCAAACCTTCGTTTAGTAGGGAAGCAAAAGGCATTTTTGCATTCTCTGCGGATCAGTTTTGAGTCTGGCATGGCTACAAGGGTAGTAAGCTCATCTTCCCCATGGTTACCCTCCCACCGACTGACATCTTGGAAAGGGGCTTTGTGCACTTCCATGTTAGTTGGTGGGAGGGTACTCTGCTTCAAGTCGAATCTTGATGGATCCTCTAAAGAATCAACTGGTATATGTCAGATTTCACTGGAACTCATGCTCGCATCCGGCCGGGACGACACCTTGCGGCGCTTGAATGAGCGTTCCACGCAAGGCCGCGGGCAGATCCCGTACCACGCCAAGCCGTTGAGACGAGGAGCTTGGCTCGGCGTTGGTGAGGTGTCTGTTCTTGTTGATTATTAGGTTGCTTTATAGGGGACCCAACAGAGAACACCATCTATCATGGCGTTGTGTCCTTACTTGAACAAATACCTTGTTGGGCCTGTCCCTGCCCTTATGCCAGATAGGGTTTCCCTGCGGTGTCAGGTGTGAGCATACTCAAATATGGTTGTGGGTCAATCTTAAATCACCAGGAATTGGACCGCAGATTTTAGTCCATGGCAAGCCATTTACCAGGGCCAGCCATTTTGGGGTTCGCCGACTTTTGAGAACCACAGCCATATGTTGGTGGTCGACCTGTGAGCGCCCGCGGTTCATGTCAGGAGCGCTAAGGGAGGCCATGGCGAAGGCGAAGAAGATCGAGAAGGCCATGGGTTCTGGGTCGGGCCAGAAGGAAATGGAAATGGGTGTGGCTCATTAATCATTTTTGAGCCAGGGCAAACCGCGGGCTTTGGTCTTTGGTTCCATTTACCAAGGTGGCCATTTTGGTACCGGTTTTTTGAGCCACAGCCACATACCAAAATCAGGCTCAGGAGGTATGTCCAAAAGCGGCCTATCCCGAGCGCTCCGGTGGATGCCGCGTCGGGAAGAGGATGCCGGAGAGCATGTTTCAAAGGTTCGCTGAGTTCGCTGAGTTCGGACACCAAAGAAGTTGCCAGATTCAGGAGCCCATTGAAACTGGCACAGGTCACCCCGAAAGCCAACATCAAGGGGTCATGTTGGAGAATTCCCCCACTGCTGCGAGCATTTGTGGATTTTGTTGGTCGCATGAACATGGGATCCCATGTCGGGTTTTGCGGCGCACCCATTTTAGGCTACCAATTTTAGTGGTTGGATTGAATCGGATGTTCACGTCATGGTTTTCGGGTGCCCGCAGGCGCTGCCTTCCGTTCCGCGGCCCAGGCGGACCCGTGCCGTGGGGTTTGATGCTGCACGTCTGGCCCCAAACGAGGCCACCTCGGAGGAAAGGGTAAACGCAGTGCATGTTACATGAAGGGTTATTTGTCCCTTTGGCTTGGGTGGGCACATGTATTATATATGTATGCATATTTATTCATAAACAGCAAAGCAGAAAAAGCAACTGTCTCCATTCGGGTGGTTTCGAAGCAGTTCCGTTTGGTGGAGAGGCCGGACTTCCCGTACAACCTGGAATTCCGGGCGGAGAACTTCTTCATCTCCCAGGAGCTGAAGCGAAGGGCATGGGGCTTCGCAAAATGGCTGTGGCTCAAAAAACCGGAAGTCCAAAATGGGTTGCCCTGGTAACAAAATCTGCGGTTTGCCACTCCTGTTTAATTTTGAGCCACACCCAAATGGGCCTAGCATTTTCTCAAGTGTGAGCCTAGCGTGTTCCCTAGGTTTTGGTGGGTAGTTCAGTTGTGAGCCTTCGCAAAATGGCGGATCTCTCTTGTTTTGGTGGGTGGGTCAGATGGTGATCCTAGCAGCTTAGCATTTTCCCTAGTCAAAAACGTGTTAAAGAAGAAGAGAAACAGAAGGCTGAAGCCTTTGGAGGCTTTCCTGGAACATCGGAACATCATGGAACTGGCTTAGCCTTCGGGGCAGGGCTGCACAAGCGAATGAGTTGTTGAGGTTCACTCCAAGTCTCCGTGGAGGTCACGGGATGTTTTCGGACCTCCCGAAGCACGACTGCGGCTCGCAGGCGGAGCTGAAAAGGAAGACCTCCTACGACGTGGTTTGGGGCCGAGTGGGATGGGCGGGGCGAAAGGACGTGGCACCCAGCACCGGCGTTTTTTTTGGGCGGGGAGGGCAGGGCGACCACTCCGCGCTTCGTCCTTGAAATGCAAAATGGCTTGGGTGAAAAATATCCCAGTCGGCTTACTGCGAGCCCAGGGTCGGTGAATCAGATCAACATGGCGCCGTTTCATCCCGTTCAAGATGCAGTTTCAGAACCCATGTGAGTTACCAGTAGTCTATGGTCCCCATGTCCTCTTGGGAGAACATCCCTGATTTTGATTGGCTGCTGTGGTGCTTTGTTTGGACCTTGAACATATTTGCCTCTCTCGAACTGCATTTTCGCACCCGCGTGATTTTTGACAAACATCCCGAGACTCGATGTGTCTAAAAAGCAGTAAAGGAGCGGGCCGGAGATCAAATGTAGGGACAACTCCTCGCAGGCTCCATGTTAAATAAGAGGGCGACAGTGGTATCCACAGCGAAAAATAATGAATTTGTCCATTGTCCATGTTAGAGGGGAGGGTACAGATTCAATAGATATTCCAGATAACCCACATCACCAAATCCTGGTATGCACGGAAGTCACCGGGATCCCTCGATCTCGCGATCTTGTAAGGCACCGCCAGCGATCGATTCGGAACCGCGCAGGTGCTCCTGCTCAAGGTCACTCAGTGGATCCACGTCTACTACGGGGATGCGGGCATTCAGGCGGGGTGCGCGGCTCCAAAAGAGGGCCCCCAGTCAGGAAATTGAGAGATGCACTCGGCGCTCGAGTCAGGAACTTGAGGGGTCCCTGAAACAGACCCTTTGGTTTAGTTTGAAAACCGAAACTGTCGGAAGCAAGCAGAAACGCGCATTTGAGCCATTTTAATCTGGTTTACTTGTTTGGCCTTTTTTGTTGTTGTGGGTTTCAAGATACATCTGGGCTTAAATTATGAGCTCAAATATCCAGGATGATGGTTCAACCAAGCACACATTAGCCTTTCTGAATGGATTGGGGTTCAAAGGCGAAGCCGAAAGGAAGCCAACCTCCTGGAATGGCCAATTTGAAGTGGGTTGTTTTTGAGGGGATTATTTTATCTTGAGGGGCTCGCAAAATGACCCTGTCTTGCCTTTCGGGTTCCATTCGAATTCCACCCAAATCCCAGGTTTCCTTTTCTTGTGGTCATGACCAGTCATGGCTTTCTCAAGAACAGTTTCAGGTAAAATGCGCGCCGCCTGGACCAGGCGCGGGTTTGTAAGCACTTCAGCCCGAAGCCACTGGCGACGGGCTTGCCAACGGCTTGGCGGAGTCTGGAGCTGTGGGTGTCTTGCACAGACGCGCAGCATGCCCCCGCTCGCCCTGGTGAGAAGGCTGCTGGTGCCCAGCGGGACGAAACCGCGCTGAGATGCGTGAAAGCCAACGGAGCAGCTGGCTGGCCCAAGTGAAGTTGGCTGGCTTCGGGTGGATTGCGTTGGGTCTGAATGGGGCGTTTCCTGGCCCTGAGGGCTGAGGCGCGCTGCGAGAAACTGCGGGAAATATTATTTTTTGGGGCAGTGGCTTCAATTCACCGCCATTTTTGCGGAGTTCATCTGAATTGGGTCAACCATTCCTTTCAGGGGGGTCGAAACCACGAAGGCCCGCAAGCTGTCTGGGTCTCGCTATGCGCGTCTCAGGAGCTCTTCGCCAAGGTCCACCGGCTGCTGCGCCTGGGGGGCTTGCTTGTTCTGGAGGCCGGGGTGGGGGTGAGGGGGCCTGAGATGTGAATGACATTTCTGCATTTCTCATCCATGCAAGTGTCACAACCGCTTCAGACAGGCAGGGCGCACAGAGATGTCAAACTACATGCTTCACTTTGCACCCTTGTTACATGTATGTTCACTACCGCAGGCCTTGAGCTTACTACTCCGCATGAGTTAAAAGGTTGGCAGCTGCAGACTACATTGGTTGACTGTTTGTTTGAACACTACAGCACTTGCACTTGTAAGCAAAGTAACAACCGATTTTAACGTGGTAGCGGAGCTGAGATCCTAAACATAGGGGAGCTCCAGTAAGCAGTAAGTAAGTACTACAACAACAGAGCAACAGCAGCTACATGCCAAACTACTACGACATGTCAGGAGAAGCAGCATCAGCCTCAGCACAACAAACTACAGGAGCAGAGAACGGGCCAACAGCAGACACAGTAGGAGCCACGACTACGGGAGCAGGAACAGAACAAGACAACGACGTTCAGAGACTACATAGATACAAACTGCCACCACCCTTCTTCACTGGTGACTACTCCCAGTATGAAGAATGGCTGTTCAAGCTACAAGCATACCTCGGCCTCATAGACCGAGACTTCGACCTGGTGCTACAACTAGCACAAGTGGCTACACGACAGATTGAGGACACAGACATCAGAACACACATACTCGACCCTACACAAGCAAGCAAAGCAGTAGACCTCTCCAGAGATCTACACTACATCCTCATCAACATCTGTCAGGGAGCAGCAGCCACAGTAGTAAGGCAAAACCGCTACAACGCAAACGGGTGTGAAACACTACGACTACTACACAACAGGTTCAGCCTACCAGTAGGAACAAGAAGCGTTGGTTACCTTACCAAACTACTAGAACCCACATTCAACGAAGCGCAGTTTGAAGAACAATTTCTACAATGGGAATACGCCATCAACCGCTACGAGAAAGACAATGGAACAGCACTACCAGATGGAATCAAAATAGCAATACTACTCAACAAAACCAAAGGAGCACTTCAGCAACACCTCCAACTGCGAGCTGGACAGATCACGAACTACATCGAGATCAGAGCACTCATCCTGGACTACTACAAGACGATTTCAGCCTTCACTAGATCTACTTCAGCAGTAGGAACAAACTACAATGGAGGAACTGCACCAATGGATGTTGACAATATATGGAGGAAAGGAAGAATCTACAAAGGCAAAGGAAAAGGAAAAGGCGGCTACAAAGGAAGCAAGAGCAAAGGCAAGTACAGGAGTAAAGGACACTACAAAGGATTCGACAAAGGCAGCAAAGGAAACTACAACAAAGGAGGATACAACAAGAGCAAAGGAAAAGGCTACTCAGGATCCAAAGGATATGGATCGAGCAAAGGCTACAAAGGCCAAGGAAACTACAGCAAATCAAAAGGAAAAGGAAGCAACAACTACACAACATGCCATCGATGTGGCAAGCCCGGCCACTGGGCACAAGACTGCAGAGTGCCGGTATGGCACATAGGAGAAGGAGAAGAACTACATCCACTAGAACAAGAACAAGCAGATCACGACAACAATGATGAACTACCTCAGGATGTGAACGACACTTGGGACTGGTACTACGAAGGAGAAGAAGGACAACACGAGGTGAACTACATGGAGGAGAACTGGAACGACTACGACTATGACAACAGCTGGGATTGGAATGACAACAGCTATGAGGACACAGCGAACTACATTGGAGGCATCAACGAGTCACACCTCACCATTGGACACATCAGACAAGCAAAATCACGACTACACAAGCACAAATCCAAATCACTACTTGGCAAGAGAACAACACACACAACATCATGGAACGACCACAGCAAGAGCTTTCAACAATTCCTACAAGAAGACACCACAAAGCTACACTTCGACATAGCAGCAGCAATACAACAACAAAGGAACAAGAAGATTGAGGACACTATCACCCACTACATCATGTACTCCAACTTCAAGTCATACCACCACCTGTTGATCGACTCAGGAGCATCTACACATGTTTGCCCAAAGGACTACGCACCGGATCTTCCACTACGACCCTGTGGAGAATCAGTTCCACAACTCTACACGGTGACCAACAAGAAGATTCCCGTCTACGGCATCAAGTACGTTCCCTACAAGCAGGACAACTTCAGGATCATGATACCCTACTACGTTTGTGATGTGAAGTATCCAATCCTCAGCGCATCAAGACTACTTGATAGAGGATATGGACTTGACTTCACTCCACGAGACTGCACCATCACACATGGACAACAACAAGCACACCTCATAAGACACTCAGGACTTTTCTACCTACGAGCAGAGAAGATCGACATCCCTGCAGGATTCGACATCTACCCAATCACTACAGACAATGGAAAATCCATTGCTGTGATTCAACCTACAGAGAGAGCAGCACAACAACAAGAACAAATCGCACCACTCACACACACAGACCAAGGACTACTTGGTGGAAACACTGACTACTGGAAACTTGATGGCGACTACGCCATCGGAGTACACAAACGACCACGCAAAGCACTGTTCGCACCACACAACAGTGGCTGCCCAATACCAGAAGAAGAACTAGATGATTGGCGACTAACCATCATCAACAGACAAGGGCAAGAGCAAGAACAACTACAAGAGAACCCAACACAACTTTCCAAGCAAGAACTACAACGAAGACTAGAAGGTGACAACTGGACTGGAGAAACCAGATTCAGAAGAAAGATAACACCTACACGCAGAGCAACATCAAAGACCACACCAACAAGGCAGAGCTCACAACCACAACGGCTAATGGACACACCACCAACCAGATCAAAGATCCAACTACGAGCACCACAAAAGATATGGAGACCCAAAGCAGCACCTTCTACAAATCTTGACACCACACAACCAAAGGAGACAATACACAGACCACTCACAGCACAGGAGGACAACCAAGACTACTGGGAAAGACAAGGTGAACACTGGATACGACACCACACAACGCTTAGAACAACTCTCTTCACTCCAACAGATGGACCAGGACATCCACCAATCAACACACTTGAACCTCACAGAACTACAATCACTCACAACAACTTTGGAGAAGTTTCACAACGCAAAGATGACTGGACAGTCATGGGCAACGCAGCACTACCATTTCAATGGAAAGGAACAACAAGGTTTACCGTGAAGAAAGACTACGAGTACATCCAGGAGAACCACGATGAAGAACAGCAACACGAGCATCATGAAGCACACAGAGCAAGAGGACTACGACAACCACAGCAGCCCACTCCACAACAAATAGCAGAACACAACCTTACACATCTACCATACAGAAACTGGTGTCCAATTTGCGTTCAAGGCAAAGGACGCCAAGACAACTACCAGAAACAACAATCACGACAACCTGTCATTCAAGTAGACTTTGCCTACATCAAGTCACAACAAGACCCAAAGACCACACCGGTACTGACAGCAGTTGATGTTACTACACAACTGTGTATGGCAGTATTGGTTCCAGACAAATCATCAATGATGGACTACATGGTCAACAACCTACAAGCATTCATCTTTGAGTGCGGAAGAACACAAGGCATACTACAAAGCGACAACGAAGACACACTCAACGCACTTCTAAAAGCTACAGCAGCAAAAGTCGGCACAATGAGTGTACGACATTCACCTTCCTACAGCAGCAACAGTCAAGGAAGCGTTGAGCGACTACATAGAACACTTCTCGGACAAATCCGCGTCGTCAAAGCTCAGGTTGAAAGCAACTACAGCATGACGATGTCCACAAAGCACTGTCTACTACCTTGGATAGTACGACATGCAGCATGGACGGTAAATCGCTACGTCATTCACTCAGACGGCTACACAAGCTTTGAACGCCGCTGGGGAAGAAACTACGAGCGAGCAATCTGCGAATTTGGCGAGACACTACTTTACCTTCCACCACAACACAAGAAACTTCCGAAAGCAGACCTACGGATGCAGAAATGCATCTGGCTCGGAAAAGTTTCCGAAACCGGAGAAAACTACGTCGCAACGGAATCAGGCGTACAAAAGGTACGAACAGTACGGAGACTACAACCGGACTTCAAATACGACCTCGCACTGTTGAACAAAGTTTCCGGCACACCATGGGCACCACGACGGAACACCTACAACCCAACCGTGTTGGATACGCAACTACAACCGTCAGAGAAAAGAAGGTCCACGCAAGATTTCGGACAACAAACGAACGCTACGGACGACATCGTTGCGGAACCCGTCACCACCTCCACGTTCACGACCACTACCGGATAGTCCTATGGCTACTTCACCAACTGGACGACAACATCCACCACTACCAGCACCACCTCGACAAACACTACGACGTTTAACTCCGGAAGAAGTAATGCAACCAACTAAAGCACAGAAGACCTCAAAGGACACTACCACCTCAGAAGACCAACCCATAATCTTCGACAACGAAGGTTACGACGAAACACAACTACTGGAAGGAATGAAACACGAGTCAAACCAAATGAAACTACACGACGTCTACGACGAAGTAGATGCGTCTACCGTCAACGACAAGGTCATCAGAGAAGCGATACCTACAAGATGGGTACACAGAAAGAAAGGACCAGGAGTACGAAGCCGAATCGTCGCAAAAGGCTACACCGAGAAGATCGAGGACGAAGACTCCGTCTACGCCTCTACACCAATGTTCACGACGCTCCGGACACTTCTCGCACTACAAATGTCACGACCAAACTGGATCGCGCGACTAGGTGACGTCTCTACAGCATTTCTACACGCACCCATCGCAAGAGACCACGACGGTAAACAACGTGACGTCTACCTTTGGCCACCTAAAGAACTTTGTCCACAACAGGACAAAATCTGGCGACTAAAGAAAGCCATGTATGGCTCCTACATCGACAACATGATCGAGGAGTCTGGAATGAACAACTGCAACTCAGTAAACACTCCAGGAATTGCACACTACAAACCAACAATAGAAGATGAAGCACTACTTGACCACGAACAACACAAAAGGTACAGAAGAATTGTTGGCAAACTTCAATGGTTAGCGTACACACGACCAGACATTGCATACTCCACAAAAGAACTAGCGCGAGACCTCACAGCGCCTACAGAACTTTCACAAAAGAGAGTCAAACATCTACTACGCTACTTGCACGGCACCAAGCACTACAAATTCACCATAGAACCAACAACAACACTCAGAGCAAACACCAACAACATCCTGGATCTCGACGTTCATGTCGATGCCGACTGGGCAGGATGCCCTACTACCAGGAAATCAACTTCAGGTTTCAACATTATCTTTCTAGGAACAACAGTTGCATTTGGCAGCAGAACGCAAGCTACAATAGCACTTAGCTCAGCAGAGTCTGAACTCTACGCCATTTGCACAGGAGTTAATGAGGGACTACACCTCAGAAACTTCCTACTTGAAACCAACATTTGCAGCAAGCTAAATCTACGCATCCACACAGACTCCACAGCAGGCAAGAGCATTGCTACACGACAAGGCACTAGCAAACGAGCAAAACACATCGACCTCAAATTCCTCTACACACAAGACCTCATCAAGCACGACATCATCAGAATCCTTAAGATCAACACACTCCACAACAGCGCAGATTTGTTTACCAAATACATCAGCAAAGAAACACTACACAGGCTCATCCAGAGCATTGGAATACGCATCTAGCACTACGAACGACCAGCGCAGCAGTTTCACAACAACAACAACGACTTTGGACATTTCATGTATGTAAGTAGCTACATGTAACACGACACTTTTGGTATGTAAGTAACAGTAACTACATGTACTTTCACTTGCACTTTTGGCGGCTTGAGTCAACACTACAGTTGTTTGTTTTGCATGTCTGCATTCGCCGACTGCCTGGTAGCAACTACTTAGGCTCATTTGTTTTGCCCCGTTTCACTACATTTTGCATTCCACTGCAGCCATGGCCGCTCCATCTACTGCAGATGCTACGATGGGAGACGCCACTACGCCCGACAGGGCGACTACACCTGAGGTGGCGGTCACTACGGACTCCAGTGACCATGGAACTCCACCACCTCAAACCTACAACGACTCCAACTACCACTTCAACCATTCTACACCCGGCAACACCGTCTACTACAACCCGACCACAGTGATGGACCAACTACACAGCACTGAGCACCAGACAACCACTGCACCACCACTGCCCAACAACATTCCCTACACGCAATTTTTCACTGCATTTACACTTGAAGAGTATCAACTACTCTCACAACAACAAGCTACCCCACTGGCACAACTGGACTACACACGACCCATTCACTGCATCCCTGGAGATCTTCGGATGCCACACTACAATTCCACACTGCTCAGCATTTCACTACCTGAAGCAGCCAATGTCCACTACTACCACACGACTTCACTCCACACTACAACTTGCGACAACAACAACTACGTCATCATCCAACTCCAGATTGAACAACCACTACTCCTGAGGTACCTCACTTCAGGACAATTTCTACACTTCACAAGGGACTACATCTCCTACATGATGTCGGTACAACACAACTACTACCTCCCGACTACAACACTGCCAGAGACCATCTTCAAGGTGAACTACAACATGGCCACCTTCACTGACAACTACAGCCTCAGGAACAACTACGTTTGGAATTTCCACATGCCACTACTACTACCTGACCTACTCCACTACCTCTACAACAGAGACCAACTCCACGACTACCAACACAAAGCAATCACTACAATCCTCTGCAAAAGCATCCAATACTACGGATTCACACTACTCACAATGACCAACCTCACACAACACCACAAGGCACTACTACACCGCTTTCTACGGGACTACCAACAACACATGTCGTGTCCCGAGATTGATGATGAGCGACTACGGGGAGCTCCAAACTACATGACAAACTTTTTCACCACCAACTACTACGCGACCTTGGACAGTTGACTTCAGAAGGTCCAAGACTACCGCACCCAGAACTGGGTACTACATTTTTGAGCTCCTGCTCTACTACAACGAGTGCCTGCCTTCACTACTTCCGTCCAGCGCACTACATCGAGCTGGAACCTGAACAGCGTGAACTACTGAGCGCAGGTCACTACTTTTGCCAATACAGTAGAATTGATGAACAACAATGGTTTTCATTACTACTGTCAATCCATGTTTTGCACTTCAGTTGAAAAGGTACTACAAAGACCTTTTAACTGAGGGGCCGTGTCAAACTACATGCTTCACTTTGCACCTTTGTTGCATGTATGTTCACTACCGCAGGCCTTGAGCTTACTACTCCGCATGAGTCAAAAGGTTGGCAGCTGCAGACTACATTGGTTGACTGTTTGTTTGAACACTACAGCACTTGCACTTGTAAGCAAAGTAACAACCGATTTTAACGAGAGAGAGAGAGAGAGATATGGAGAGAGAGAGAGCGCGCGGACAAACATGTGGGTCCTAAAGCAGTCGAACCCGTTGGGCGGTTAGAACCACCCAAAGGGGAATGTACCAGACAGACCCAGGCACAGCAGTGGCAGAAGTACTTGGAGAAGAAGCACATCCCGCCCTCGCGGCGTCGGGGGAGCACAGCAGAGAAGATCGGAGGAACTTAAAGGTTACTTGGGTTTGGGCTGTTTGGGGTGCGACTCCATTCTTTTTTCCCCCGCTTTCCTTGCCTCGATGTTTCTCTTCTCCAACCGACAAAAACAACCCAATCCCGCGGGCTTCGAGGCAGCTTCACCAACAGCCTGGGGCTTCGGCCCGAGCGCTTCCCCGAGCTCCTGGCCTGGGCGCCTGTTGCGCCCGAAAAATCTCCGGCCGTGGCTCGGGCCTGGCGGGTTTTTGGGGGTTCCTTGGGCCAGAAATACCCACAGGCCCCTGAAATCCCCCGACCTTTTTGGAGCGTCCGTGGGGTGTTTTTTGGGGTTCCTTTGGCCCCGAAGGTGAGGTTTCCAGTGCGCCTTTTTTTTTTGCGCCCATGTTCTCGAATGTGGCTTTTTGCCTTTCATACATCCCTGTTTCGGTGGCTGAATCGCCCCAGTCTGTCGGACAGTGACGCAAAGAAGTTTTGACTATGGCACTTGTTGCAAGGTGAGTTTAACAGGGGAAAAAATAACAAAGATGCCATGGTTACTTGGGGTTGATGCCTTCTTTGCCGATATGGCATCGGCATGATGATTGGGTGACGGGCGGAAATCACCCAACAGAACCAAGGGCAAATCCGGTTCAAACAATCGGGCAGCAGGGTGTAGTGTGTCAATTTGCAGCTTAGTAGTTGTGTTTGTAGCCGCCAGGCCCCAAAAAAAGGTTGCTGGCAGCTATGAGGACATTTCAACGGAGACAGGGATCCATCAGCTTCTTGACGTTGAGAGCTGCAAGGGAGCAAAACCGCTCAGGTCAACCCGAACCACTTGGTGGTTTGGATTGGTGGTTTGCGGGATTCGACCCCCTGGTTCTTGGGGGTAAATGGGAAGCCACCCCTCAACCACCACGACTCCAAACCACCAATTAGAGGGAAGCTGATAAATGCTTGGCAAGTCTGTTTGTTGAGTCTCGGTACCCTTTCTTTTTTGGTTACTCAATCATTAAACGGGAGGCAGGATGGAGAATAGGTCCGCAGTTGCAAAGGGAACCGTCCAAGCCGCCACTGGTTTGGTTGAAAGGGTAAGTGAACACGGGTTGGTTGAGTTCTGAACCACCACTTTGGTTCGTACTGTTCGCTAGCGTGTCTTGAAAGGTGTTCGGAAAAGCTGAAGCAAGACGTGAGACAGGGTTGATCCCATTTTTGTGGGAATCGAGTGTTGGCCTTGGCTGTGGGTCAATCCAATGGTACCATTTTGGGGTAGGTGCACCACCCATTTTAGTCACTTTTAGTGGGGATTGGGATGTGAACTGGGGGTACGGGATTTTGACCCATGGCCATATTCTTCGGGTTCGGCCATAGATTCCTTTTCGGCGGCGGGCCGCTTGCGACGCCCTTCGGAGCGCCGCTGGTTGCGAGGGCCAGCAGGGCTTCGAGCGCCAGACCACCGTGGCGTCACGGAAGCTGAAGCCGGGGGCTGATTTGCGAAGTTTCGGCGGAGTTTCGACGGGAGGCAGAGGGGCTGGAACGCCCAACTAGGTCCCAGCTCGGTGCCCTTCTCTACCCCTTTTTTGGTTGGGAGGGTTCCCCTACTAAAATAGCCTACAGAAAAAAGGGCAACCTCTCTATCGGAGGACCTAAAGAAAAACCCGGGTGCTCTCGAAACCGAAACCGAACATGGAACCGTTCGAGGTTTGGGGAATCGGTCCTGGTTTTTTGACCATTGTCCTTTTTAAGGGACCGGGTCCCTGTCAGGTTCCATGTGGATCGGTGGGAGGGTACCCCTTCCCGGGTTGTGTCATGGACACTTAGAGTATTTGTTGCAGCCAAGAACCCCAAAACAAACAATACCCTAAATGAAGGAGGTTGCAATGTCCACCATACGTACCCCCCCTTTTGATTGGTTGTTGACTCTCTCCCTGATTTCTGTTTGGACCACTTTGAGTGGGTTTTTGTTCAGAGAGGCCACCTGCCCTCTATACTTGCCAGGCAAAGAACTCCAAATTGGTCTGATTTCGGAGCCCTCGCAGGGTCTCCCATAGGTTGATTGAAGTGTCCTTTTTTCCACTCTGCCGAACGCGAGCCGATTAGTTTCTCATAGGGGTTGACCGGTTGGTAGGTGGGTACATCTTTTCTCTCAACCTTCTTTTAGATGGGACGGACTCCGGCAGTTGCACTCTGAGAGCACCCCCAAAAGGGAAACTTTTCAAGCGAAAACGTTGACCAACGGCAAGCGTCAAAAAATGGGGGCCCCCGCTGCTCGTGTCAGTATGTTCCGCTTTCTGGGCCAAACAAGGATCCGTTTGGACGACCCCCCATTCAGTCCGGGTTTGCTGTTCCATCGACGTCCACCTTTGGGGGGTTTGCGACGCCACGTCACTGAGAGCTCCTTTCAGAGGCTGTAGATGACATTTGATTCCATTCATCATGGCGCGGGGAGCCTTTTTAAAAAGGCCCGAAGCAAGGGCTTATCTTGGTGACTCCCGAAGGCCATCCGGTTTAGCTTTTTAGATCCTTTTAGTGTTTAGTGGTAGTTTCCGAATTCCCACAAGTTAGTCACTTCTGATGCGGGGCATCTGAAAACGGGCCCAGTTAAGGGCTTTGGGCGTTTTTTGAGCTCCCAACCTCCCACCCCCCAGCCATGAAGTGAATTAATTGCCCAGTTTTCGTATATATGTAATACATATTTGTATGTATATACATGGGTATAAATGTATGTGTCCTTTCTGGTTCCCTAAGCCGGTCCTTTTAAAGGGTTCTTTTAAAGGGGATGCCGAACGTGTCTCTCACTTGGTGGCTGGCAAAGACCTCCAAACCTCGAGGAACACCATCTTTGTCTTCCGAAAGGTGGCCACGCCTCAGGCCGGCTGGCGGGGAAGCGGGGAATTGGGTCGGGAAATTGTCGGCTGGCAGGATGGTGAGAACTCATGGTTACCACCGGAACTTGAGCCGAGTTCCTTTTTTTTGAAGAATAAAAATGAAGTAACATAAAATAGTAACAACAACTAATATATATATATATATTGTAAAACAACAACAAACACATAGTCATAATTATTGCTCAAGTGGCTTTGGTTGCCACTTGGGAACAATAGAACATCCCCGGATGTTTGCAGAAAATAACCGGGGAATATCTTAAAAGACTCCTCGACTTTACGCCCCGCTTTGGTGTGGGAGACATTTCCCATGAGGTGTGTGTGTGTGTGTGTCAAAACAGGGGAGCCTTCAAAACCAACCCCAAAAAGCCAAGTCTGACAGGCAGCTGTCCTTGGTTTTGCTGCTTGTCGCTTGAGTCCGGCGCGACTCATTTGTTTGCACTCCAGGGATTGGTCTCGGGCTTTCTGGCGAAAACGCATTCTTTCCCCCCCATCCAGGCGATATGGATTTGTTTTTGACATTCATTTTCCATTTTTCGTCTTTCAGCAAGTTGCCGAGACCTGCCCTCTTACTCCAAAGACATTCACATGTTTGGTCTGGTTCAGAGGGCTCAGCGGACAAACAAACCTGCCGGGGTTTCCGTCCGAGGCGGAGCGCCCGCCGCTGATGGATCAGGTCTTCGCCGCCATGGGCTCAGCTTCTTGCTCGGTGCCGAAAACTGACCACTGCTCCGGGAAGTCCGTCCCACTGGGTGGTATTGATTGCCAGAGGTGGAGTCGGACAATGAGGGTGACCTTGTTTTCGGGTGTCAAATTACAGAAGGTAAGTGCCGGGTTGGGGTTTCTTATGCCCACTGTTGAGGGGACTCCGAAGGATTTCGTGGCGCACGTCCAAACCAAACCAATTTGTTCGGCCTTTGGGGGCCGCCAGAATCGTTTCGCCAGTTGCACTGAAGGGAACCCAGTTGCTTGAAGAACCAGGTAATGGGCGTCAAACTACCAGCACCTGGCATTGGTTTTCTGCAAAGGGTAATTATTGAGCCAGGCCAGCGAGGCTCCAAATTGATTAGCCCCTCTAGGTGGTTGGTTTCCTTTTGGTTTCCTTTTGGTTTCCCTTTGCTCGCTGGTGCGATAGGAGAATGACCGAGACCGGGTAACCAGGAATGAACCCGGGGATCGCCTTAAAGGAAGCCATGGGGGATTTGTGGGGGTCATTCCCTCACTGCTGAGAACCAGCAAGTCATGTCTGGAATCTCTCGCACCGATCGCAGGTTTAAATCCATCCAATGGGGGTTCTACGGTTGTACCCACATGGCCGCGGGTGAGAACCAACGGGATCCCATTTCGGGGTTTTCGGTGCACCCATTTTAGAAGCCTATTTGAGTGGTTGGATTGGGATGTGCAAGGAGCAGCAGTTCCTCATGCCGCGGCCGCCCAAGAAAGCCAAGGTGGTCCCCCCCAGGCTGGGCTCGAGACATGCAAAAAGCACCCCCCAATTGGAAAGGAAAGCACATGGCTCGTCTCTTTCGAGGGTTCCCCTTTTTGGAGTAATTTGAAAGCCAAGAAACACCACCAGTGGGTCCCCTAAAAGTAGACCATGGGGATGAGCTTCGCAACCACTGGCAACTTCTCTGCCAAAAGTCTCGCGCCTCTTGCCGGTTTTTCCCCAGTGGCTGGCCCGGACCTTTGGAGCGTGGAGGTTTTAGGCCTGCCTCGGGCTCCGGGCCCCGATTGAAGGATTTTGGAGAGTTGGTGACGTGGCCATGGGTGGCATATGGCGATCTTTCATGGGGCGGATGAACCTCCCATTTTGCCAGCTATCTTGATGTTCACCAGTGCATGGGAGATTCGCAAGGCGGGATTTGTGAAAACCAGAGTGGAACTCGGAGTTCAAGCCCGCCAGCCGAGCCACGTAGCATCCAGGTTCGCGACAGATGGCTGCATGCTCAGCTGACGAATTCCTGTGGAGTTTGACAGGGCGGGGTTGTAGAGTTGGAGGAATAAAAAGAAAGTACAGTGTTGGGTCTCCTTCTTGTGTTCTGCAAAGCAACGCCACCTTTGTTGCTGCAATTTTGCAAACTCGTAAACTTGTCTCTGCCAATCCTTGCTGCTCAAAGTCATTTTGGAAGATCCGTATGTGCTGGATGGTTGCGGATTCCTTGTCGTGTTTGGGGCCATTTTCCATTCACGGGGCTCATATCTTCGGTCATGCCTTACGTGGACAATGACAGACGGGTCGCCATTGAACCGAAAAACCATCGTCCATGGGTTCCATATCAGTCGCCTGGAAGGAATACGGGCGTGTTGAGGAACCCTTTGATGTTTGTTTAAAGGAAGTCAAAGGGAACATCCACCGTTACGCTGCAAGGGTGTTTTTGAGACAGCCTGTGTGGCGTTTGGGTTCTGCGAGACGCCAGTTCGCTTCCGTCCGCCTCTCCGAGGCGTCCCCAAGGCGCCGCAAGATCTGGAGGCGAGCCTGACTCCGACTCTGTGCGACCTGTTTGCTGTGGGAAGAGTGTATTGTAAACGTACATATGTATATATATATATATATGTATGTATATATATATATATATATATGGTCACCCCCCCCCCCCCCGGGGCCTACCTTTCCTCTCTTCTAGTTGAAGGTGTCAAGTCTACTCCGTGTGCCTCGTTCTTGCAGATGCCTGAAAACACTGTGAAATACACTGTTATTGTTGGTGTTTTACCTTCTATATGGCAGCAAATGCTTGCTTTGTTTACGCTTGAAATGCAACAACGCGAAAGCGGACTCCGTTTTCGGATTGCTTCGTTTGAAAACGCTGGTTTTTCCAGTGGTGTTGAGTACACCAGAAAAACATTGAAACAATGATGTTTTTTGCGGCTTTGAGCTCTGCGACCTGCACAGACCCAAAAGCACAAAATCTCCTGAAAATGAAAGCTCTGAGACCGGCACATGCCAAACAAATGTCCAGACCGATTTTGGGAGTCTGGGAACATTTGCCCATTATTTGCGTAGCCACAATTTGTTTGCAAAGGCCAAGTGGTTTCTTTCCAGAATAAGCTCTATTCCATTTTAAGCCATATTTCATATTTGGGAAGGGATTCTGGAATAATTTCTTATGTTCAAAAGCCAATTGAATTCTGTCTGCATTAAAGTATATCTAAATTCTACTGAAATGCTATTTTTTTCTTGTTTGGACAGGTATTCCTGTTCAAATTCTGATGAAATATAGAAATTATGGTGAATTATGATTTGTGTTGAACTATGTCCAATATGCTAATTCAAATCGGAGCAAAATCTGATTTGGAAAGGAATGTATACTTGGACTTGTTGGAGGACTCCCGGCTTCAAATTATGAGGCTTGGACAATCCAACATTAAGCAGCTCGAGGATTCTGATCTCCAGATTCTACGTTACAGAGGTTTCAACATTGACATTGCAAGCGATTAGAAATCCAACAAAATGCTGTAAAACACAGTGTTTTGCAGAAATTGCTCAGATTGTGTTCCCTTGGACCGAAGATTATTCATTTCCCAAACAACATGTTGCCCCCTTCAACATGTTGCCCCCTTCAACATTCCAGTTCAATTCGGAGTAAAATTCTTTTTGGAAGGGAGTTCATGTTCGAGGACTCCCGGCTTACAAATTTCGAGGATTCTGATCTCCCGATTCTAACTTTTAGGTGTTGTCAAGATTCAGGTAAGAGACAATCACTCCCACACACACACACACATGAGGCATCAGTCAATCATGTACATGAACCCAAAGGCTCTAGGCGGATCAAGTCAAAAAGGTTCGCTACTCCGCTTGTCATGGTAGCGGAGCCGCTGTAAGTCCTGGCTGTGCTCAGCCAGGCCGCGGCCAGGGACAACGAGACCAAGCGCGTGGAAGGTGACGAGTGAGATAGAGAAGTTCAGCAACAAGGGTGGACTTCCTGAAGGTGACCCGCATCTACAGCAGGATCATCAAGCAGGTGATAAAGCAGCTCTACGGAGCTGGCGGCAACCAGAGATGTGCTGGCAGAGATCGTTATTGGCTGGACGCGTCACTTGTGAGCAGCCTGGGCGTCTTGGGGGGCCCAGATCTCCAGCCTTAATCAACTTCTCCAAGTTTGCTGTCGATTCCAAAAAATTGATCCGCCGCTGCCAGGGGGCTTGTCCACGTTGGCGCTCGGGCTGAAAGCCTCGGACAACCACGCTGATCATGCTTCGCTTTCTCACCTCCCAACCTTGCCGTACAAGGTGTCCTGCGCGTAGGATTGGGTGCTTGACCTCAGAGCCTTAGGCTTCTTCCTTTTCTCATTTCGTTGAGCTCGGACCAACCAATAGGTTCACGCCTGATTTCTGCAACGCGCTTCATGTCCGCGAGCACGTAATTCTCCATAGCAAATCTCCAGTCCCGCCGCAAGTCTTGCCAAACCTTCAACTCACTCTCGCGTTGAAGACCTCAGCGCACTTCACGTGCCTCGCCCATGATTTCCTTGCTGGCTTTGAACTCGTCAAAATGTGCATTTGGTCCTTGTTTGTCGTGAGTCTTCAGATGCCGGCATTGTGTTGCTGCATTTGCCATTCCCAGGCACATGCCCCGCTCCGTGTCCGTGATCTTCTCGCAAATGGTGGCGATACGGTGCCCAACCCCTTGTTGGTATACGTCTCCTGAGACAGGACCATACCAGAAGTGACCAACTCTCTGCAGTTTCAATATTCTGCTGTTAATTGCGCAGCTCTCTCGTCTTGGCTGCTGATCTGCATTTCCTCCTCCACCACCTGCAGCTTGTCGAACTTGGCGGGCGAGATCGTTGTAGTACTTGGGTAGACTTCAGGGGCGCCCAATGGCCAGATCCCACCGATGTCCTCAGTGGCTGGCTGCTCTTCCGGCAAATCTTTCCTCACAGGCATTGCTGTCGATTCACTCTGCAGGAAAGCGTCCGAGACATGTCGAATGGGTCGAATAGACGCAAGCACGGACTGATGAAGTTGCGTGCCGTGGCACATAAAGCTAGGTTAACAGGCGTTTTGTTGCTTTGGCCCTTGTGAACAGAGCAAGGAAATCATGCTGTGTGAGCCGGCGGCAAAGAGAAGGCGAGTAAGCTTCAGTACCTTTGTTTTCCCTCCCTGCACAAGGGGCATACGAGTGAGAGCCGTTGCACTTAGTCTCGAGTCTTCTTGGCTTCCAAGACACGAAAGACCCGGCTTCTTGACTGCCCTCCCCTCCGTGCTGTTCGACAACCCCGTACATGCATCCATAGACATGAAAATGCTGACAGTCAGAGCCGGCCATGAAATTCTGGAGGCGTTGGTGTTTCCAACACGGAAAAAGGATTCCAAAAAGTGGTTCTCTTGCATTCTTCCGTTGGGTCTCTCCGCCTCTTGCTGCGTTCACACGGACCCTCCAGTGCATGGGCCCGCCAAAATGGTGTCCTTGTGGGTCCTAAGCGAGTTGACATGAAGTTAATTCTACCAGGGTTGGGCGATTCCTGAGGGTTTCATGACACGGTGCACGCGCGTCGAAACAAGTTCCTCCGGGACCAGGTACCCAAAAATTGAACTTTGCTTTCTTTCCGTCTTGTTTGTGGAGTTCGACGTGTATCACAGTACATTCGGTGTCGTTTGCACTGATCTTCCATGATACGTAGCATGCGCGCCAGGTATTGCGCGGACGTGTGTGGTCTGCGCGGGACCGACACGGTCAAGTTCCCGTGGGTTGAAACTGCTCCTCACGTGGAGCGTAATGATATCTCACCAAGATACCATCCGGCTCGTTGTAGCGCCATCGATCGAACTGAATTTCTTTTTTGCAGATTGGTTCGACTCGGCCCGCGTCTGAAAAGAATCATTCCGGGTTGATGCGGGGTCGATGGTTGCTGAGGTCTCATGACCGTCCGCCAGTCAAAGCTGAAGCGCCGCTCGGCCAACCCAATACAAGGCAAGACACTGCCGGACCTGGTGGGGTCTTCATCCCTCAACTCAAGTTCCCACCAGCCGTTACAAAAAGGTACGCAACCAACCTGCTTCCCTTCAGGTCTGAGCTTCCTGTGCCGCGGCATCTTGTCCACAACCATTCATTCTCAGTAGGCGAATGGGTGTACTGAAATGCCGGAACATCACCTACCGTTTGGCCGTGTGTCATGAAATGGCGTCAACGCTTCCCAGTGCCCACAGAGTATGACATGTGGCTTGCGCCAAACCACACATCCCCAGATCTCTGCAACGGCAAGCTGTGGTTGCGGATGGTTGTGTCTGTCGCAACGACTACAACCTTTGGAGCGGAGTGATGCCGCCTGAACCTGGTCCAACGAATTCCCGACCCACCCCATCAGTTTCATCTTTTTGGACCAATTGCCGTAGTCTCGTGTCGCCCTTGCTCCATTTAGTCGCATGACGTGCCAAAGGAATTGATTGGCCGGAGCAAAACAAAACATGCCAGCCTCGCTGCGCACAACAGCTTCATCAACGTGCTGGCGGCGTGTAGTGCTAATTCTCCTTGCGCGAGCCCTTGCGCGTCAGACCCGGATGCTCCGTCTGGAGTCCACGGAACATCAGGATTGAAGGTGTGCTTGCGGCGCTTTACGAACTTCCTGTCCGTGTAAGGCTTCCTGGCTCTGTGGCGAACGCGTCTTGGCACCCTGCAGTTCGACATGGTCCGCGACGGTCGCATCCTTTCTTCAAGTTGTGTTTGGGTCCTGGCGTATTGAAGTCATCAACATAGACCACCAGCGTGTGAACATACACGGATGTCCGGCACCTCCGTGACGGAGGATCTGGAACAGGTGAAGAGGATTGTCAGAGGGGAAGCAAGTCCTGCTTAATAGGCCTGCAAAAATCAAGCAACACGTCAAAGGGCAAACCCTGTGTCAAACTCATTGCAGAAGCCAAGGCGAATATCCGAAACAAAAGGCGCGCGCAAGGCACGCTGTTGACACAGATCGCGCAAGGAAGAAGTTGGCAATGCCCCGCGCCCTTTACAAAGACCCCGAAAGAAATCCGTAACTGGGTGGCTTGCTGGCTGATCCCCAGCGTTTTGGATGGCGGGCTCCTTGCTCTCTTGGGCTGCTGTCTTGTGCAAAGCAAAAAGCACTACTTTCTGACTCCCAAGCCCAAGTATCACAGGGAAAGAAAACTACTGGTTCCCACAGCCCTTTACTACTACTACTACTACTACTACTACTACTACTACTACTACTACTACTGCTACTTCTGCTACTGCTACTACGACTACTACTGTTACTGCAACTGCACTGCCACTACCACTGTCTGCTGCTACTCCCACTACTTCCACTGCTACTACTACAATGAACTCCATGCACGCCATCAGCGCTAAATTGCGCAAATGCAACTTCAAGGCGGCTAGCGTCAGCTTACATTAGAAGGCGCATTGAAATGCTCACAGAAGGCTGCAAAAGGAAATGCACAGGCAAGAAGCGCGGATGGCGAAGACTGTGTGCAAGGCCATCCCAGGCAGCCTTCTGTACAAGGTATGATGATGATGATTACGTTTGGGATGGGTACGATGCTTGGCGCCGTTCCGCGCCCATGGGTTCGAACCCTGCTGCTGTGACTCCTTTGTGGCAGTGTTCTTCCCAGAACATCCGCGCATGTGCTTGATTTCCCAGCAGGGCTACCCGCTACTTGAATGTCCATCTCGGATCATCCGCCGGTAGTTGCTCGTTCTTTGCCACCAGTAGAAATGAACACGTCCTTCGAGGCGACGAGACCTGACCATCTTTTTTCTGATAGCTTTCATAGCTTGCATTTCTATCTCTACTTCTTCTTCGTCACTCCCGTCTCCTCCAGCATCCTCCGCCGACGCTGTGGAACGGCCTTCAGCGGGCCTCGAAGCCGTGGAACGGTCTGTGCCGGGCATTGAAGCTGTGGAACGGTGTTCAAGTCCATCTGCTTGGGGCTGCCCCAAACAGATTGGCTCCCTTGGTGAGTTTAGCCAATGGAACGTGGTCGTAGTCATCGTTCGTTACGAGGTAGGGGATGTTGTCCTTGACTTGAGCAATTGTCAATACTACATGGTCTTCTCCAGGCATCCACAGAAAACCACCCTGGATCAGCACACCTCTGTCGAACTAAGGGGGCTTAGCTATCCCGTTCGCCATGAAGGTCTTCCGCGCCAGTCTGGGACTCAAACCAACCATAAGCCATTTCATGTTCTTGGGCTTCCCCGATTTCATAACCATGGCTATGGCGTGCGTGCTGGGTTTCTGTCAACGATCATGGGGCCTCCCTTCATCCTTCTCCGGTCTCGACCGTTTTGCGATAGTTCCTGATGAGCACAATCTCAATCGTCGGAGATAGGAGTCGCAAGAGATGCGCGTGCGTCTCGGAGGCTGGCCCGTCTTTGCCGCCCTGATCGCTGCCACGATCTCTCCGGAACTCCTGGTTACGGATTTCACCATGGTCGTACTCCACCTGATCCTGCAAAAACTAGACAGATGGGTGTTACCAGCGGCGGCAACGTCTCCTAGCAAGTTCTCTGTGCAACTTGCTCTGAGCATGTTCTTGGCGCGAGTTCCTCTGAGCAAGTTCTCCAGCAAGTTCTCTGTGCAAGTTGCTCTGAGCAAGCTGTTGGCGCGCAAGTTGCTCTGAACAAGTTTCCTATATTCGCGTAGCGCTTTCCTACTTTAAACTTGCGGTTGGGTGCAGCCGGAGCCGCGGAAGTGTATTTCGCGTACTACTTTCGTACTTAAAAGTTGCGATTCTCCGCTTCGCGTACTGCTTTCGTACTTAAGAATCTTAAGAGTTGCGATTTTTGCAGCCGGAGGCGCAAAAGTTTACTTCGCGTACGCGCACTACTTTCGTACTCAAAAGTTGCAACTTTCCAGCCGGAGCTGCGCAAGTGTACTTTGCGTACTACTTTCGTACTTAAAAGTTGCGATTCTCCAGCCGGAGCTGCGAAACTACTTTCGTACTTAAAATTGTGATTTTTTAGCTGGAGCTGCGAAAGTGTACTTCGCGCATAAAACATTTTTCCAGTGCTACTTTCGTGTTCAAAAGTTCAACAGTTGCGACTTTCCAGCCGGAGCTGCGCAAGTGTATTTCGCGTACTACTTTCGTACTTAAAAGTTGCGATTCTCCAGCCGGAGCTGCGAAACTACTTTCGTACTTAAAATTGTGTTTTTTTAGCTGGAGCTGCGAAAGTGTACTTCGCGCATAAAACATTTTTCCAGTGCTACTTTCGTGTTCAAAAGTTCAAAAGTTGCGACTTTCCAGCCGGAGCTGCGCAAGTGTACTTTGCGTACTACTTTCGTACTTAAAAGTTGCGATTCTCCGCTTTGCGTACTACTTTCGTACTTAAGAGTTGCGATTTTTGCAGCTGGAGGCGCGAAAGTTTACTTCGCGTACGCGCGCTACTTTCGTACTCAAAAGTTGCAACTTTCCAGCCGGAGCTGCGCAAGTGTACTTTGCGTACTACTTTCGTATTAAAAAGTTGCGATTCTCCAGCCGGAGCTGCGAAACTACTTTCGTACTAAAAAAAAGTGATTTTTTAGCTGGAGCTGCGAAAGTGTACTTCGCGCATAATAAAATCCAGTGCTACTTTCGTGTTCAAGAGTTCAACAGTTGCGACTTTCCAGCCGGAGCTGCGCAAGTGTATTTCGCATAGTGCTTTCGTACTTAAAAGTTGCGATTCTCCAGCCGGACCAGGGCAAAAACCGAACCCGAAAAGCAGGTGTGCAAACCACGAGACAAGCTCGAAAGGCCCTTTTGTGTGCTAACTTGCTTGTGTAGCTTGTTCAAGCAATCTCTTGGGCAACTCGCTAGTGCAACTTGCTGTGCAACCCAGTGGCGTCTCATTCTCATGTAGCTTGCTCTAGCGACCTCCGATGTAACTCGCTGGTGTAACTTGCTCAGTGTAACTTGCTCAGTGTAACATGCTTTGCAAACCTTGTGTAACTTGCTTGTGTAACTTGCTCAAGAAATCTCTCATGTAACCTGCTCGTACAACTCGCTCAAGCAATCTCTCATGTAACTCGCTAGTGTAGCTCGCTCAAGCAATCTCTCATGTAACTCGCTAGTGTGACTTGCTCAAGCAA